CCACACCCCCCCCCCCCCCGGTTAAAAAAAAAAAAAAAAAATCCATCTCAACTGTCCATCCTAAAATCTTTGTGTTTGAACCGACTCGACGTGTGAGGCAGATTATCAGTGGCATCGCTGCGGCCGCAGGATTTCACCACCGACGTCGTGTTTGACCCGGTTTCAGGATGACTTTGCGTCTGTGACGTCTCTGGCGGCCGCGGCGGTACACGTGTGTTTTTTATTCACACCAGGCGCCGGTCAGTCTTCATCTTTCAGTCGTGAGGAAACACACACACACACACGCCCGCGCACACACCCATAAGCATTAGCATTAGCAGGGAAACACATCTGCAGGTAATCTCAGACTAATTCCCGCTGATTTATTCCGTTCGGATCCGCTGTGACTTCTCAGGACATTTGATAAAAAGACAAATTTCCCCTGGGTTGGAAATATGTCCAGCGGCAGACAGAGGCTCCGAGCGCCGCGTTAGGCTCATCGTTCACATGAAACGCGGCTCTCTGTGATATCTTTAAAAGGTAATTCATCAGCTGCCGCTCCCCCGACACCGAGGACACCCTTGGCTTTGCCCCTTCATGGAGCAGGACTGCACACCAAGTAGAGAAACAATTATGAATGGGATTTATGGAGCATCTCTGTGTGAGATCGTTCCTCAACGTCCGTCCACCAACACCTACTTCATCAAACCACCCCCCCTCACCCCCCAACCCCTCACACACACACATTACTCACCATGATATACTCGTGATAAGGAACTGTTCAAACGGATCTGCCCTTTAAAGCGGGGGTCCCCAACCCCTGGTTCGCCAGACCACAGTCGGACACAGTGAGACGTCAGTGGTCGTAACCATTTACCTTCTTCATTTAAAGACAGTCAAAATCATCAGTCATTCAGACTCTGATGCTGACGAGATGAAAACAACTGAGTTCCTTATTGGTCGACAGTGTGAATCTTTGTGAATCTAAATGGGTTTTTTTTAAAACGTCCTGATCCTTTACGATCCTCCAACAGTCGACACCAGGTGGTACCAGTCTGCAGTAACAGCTAGTACCAGGGCCACAGCTTTAAAGACTCATCACCATCACCGTTGTCATGGTAATAATAAACAAACATATTCTACTGCAGTATTCTGGAGTGGCTAACGCTATGCTAATGATAACTTTGACATTAAGGCAACATTTAACCGCTACGCTAACTTTGACATTAAGGCAACATTTAACAAGTTCACGTGAACACCAGTATTTTCAGTCAGCTCACTGAACCAGGTGACTGAACCAGGTGACTGAACCAGGTGATGACATCACTGGTGTCACTTCAAACTGGTATCAATAAAATAATAAAAAATAAAAATCAATCAGGAATCACACTGTTGTCGTTGAATCTTATCCTCATTCTACCGTTTTCTACCAGTTCAACTCTCCCTCTCCCTCTCCCTCTCTCTCTCTCTCCCTCTCTGTCTCCCCCGTTTCCTCCCCTTCACCTTTTCTTCTTCCTACTTCTCTCTTCCCTCCTCTCGCTCCGGGCTGTTTTGTGGCCGGGCTGAGTATTAAAAGAACCTGAACCTTAAACCTTTCATCCTGCAGAGAAAACAGCGGCAACAGAAACTGGCAGCAGCTCGCACGCCCACAAAGAGAAGCCAAATCGAAACCTTTGTTAAGAAAAATGTGGTGATTCACTGTTTGTTTGTTTGTTTGTTTTTTTATTCTGTAGGAAAAACTTTGACTGAAAAAGGATTAAGCCGCAGAAGAGAAATAAAAGAAAAAAATAAGTGAATTTGAACCGAGGTTAAAAAGAAATATGATTCCAAACAACGATGAAAAGTCGTTGACTTTTCTGCTTGGTGTCGAGAAACCCGTCCTAAAAATATCCCACGCCAGATTTAAACACACTGTGTGTGTGTGAGTGTGTGTGTGTGTTTAAGGAAATGAGTTTCCTAATTAAATGAGAGCGTCATTAACAAACAAATAAGATGTCATTTGTGAAGCCAGTGGTGAGTGAAGTCAACGCTGTCTGCAGGTGAACGATAGCAACACTTCACTGGGTCGCCCTTAATGGGCAGGACGTTAGCATGTTAGCATGTTAGAGTTCCACATACACGTCATCATATCAGAGGTGCTGTGTTAAAAAGAATTAGCTTTTTTCAAATATTTAAGCTGGTTGTTCTAATGACAAATGTTTTTGAAAGAACTTTTTTTAACACATTTTAGCAGCTAACCTTCTTCCAGCACTAACGTAAACCGTGGTTATATTTTGATCAGTTCAGGTCCATTATAATCAAAGGGGATTGTAGATAATAAATATAAAATTTAAATCAAGAGAAGCTGTAAAAAAAGAATATAAAAGAAGTTATAGTTGTAGAGTTGATTGTTTGTTGCTAAACGCTAATCAACTCTTAGCTTCAGTTTCAGTCATGGAGACACAGAGAAAGAGAAGGAACAGAAAACAAAAAAAACATTATTCAGGATTCTATAATAATGATTGACAGCTACGTGTTCAGGTCTGGGCCAATCAGACGGACGAGTACAGGAAGTTGACACAGTGATATTCAGGGTCAGTTTGTGTTAGTGCATGTGTGTTTGACTAATAGAAAAATAAGATTGACACTAAATTCTTTATCCTGATTTAAAAAGTTAAATATTAACAGCAGCTCAAAACAAATACCATATCAGTAAAGATTCGTTTTTATTTTTATATCGATCTACACAAATAAATACGCTGATTTAAAAACCACACAAAAAAATCTCTCTTGAATTTGGGATCATCAATATTAAATCAGATTAGATTTTATTGATCCCAAACAAGAGAAAAACTAAGACAATTAAAAAAAGACATTTAAAACATAAAATACTACAAATTATAAAAGTTTTCTACCCTAATATTTAGACAAAAAACTACATTAAATTATATATAATACTAAAATATTAATATATAAATATTAAAGATCCAGTCCCCCCCCTCACCCCCCGCAGTTTTAATTCCATCCAGTCGGAGGCCCACTTTTCGTTTCTGCACAGCCTCATTAATTTATTCCCCTGTGCCTCTGTTGCGATGTCCATCCAATAATAAGCAATGATAATTAGAAGAAAACTGTGCGAATGTTTGACCTAAGCTAATTAGAAAGTTTGCAGACTTGGCAGCAGAAATCAGCGCTGGGATAATGAATCATAAAACGCTTCATTACGGCGCTCAGGGAACACTCTCCATCTCAATAAACGGACACCAGGCCTGGCAGACAAATCAAAGCGGGACAGACACGCCGCCTCATTTAGCCACCCAAAGATCACAATAAAAGGCTTTTTTAATTCAATCTAAATGGAGGCTATTTTTAACGTGACTCGCCGCTTCTGTGTCACCGCTGCTCCTCGCCGTTTGTGCCTCTATAGCTCCACCTGTCTGTCATTGATTACAGCAGGACAAACAGAACTGACAAAGTGGAAGAAAAACTAACTCAGAACTCAGTACTGCAGTACCTCGTTGTACTTCTGAACTTCCAGTTTCCTCTCCTCTCCCCCCCTGCCTCCCCTCTGGACTCTGGACCCCCCCCCGCACCCCCCCTCTGAGGGCCCGGTGGTCAGCCTACCCACTCAAACTACTTCCCCTCTGCCCATCCCTTCTCTCAGACGCCCTGCTGACCCCTGTTGGAGGATCAGAGCGCTGCAGCACACCTGGGTCAAAGTCCCGTATTCAATCACTGTAAAGTTTTGATAATTTCAAACACCTCATCATGACTCAGCGTGACTCTGCACCAGATCTTTCTTAGTCCTTATTATCATTAAAATATGTTTCTGTTTTTGACCTCAGGCATTTGCTGCTTTTTTTTAAGGTCATCTTTATGAATCAAAAATAATTAAAGACAAATTGCAGTGACTTCAGTCCACAGTCTACCACAGAAGTGAAAATCTAATTAAAGCCACTGCACCAGTTTACTGGTCTCCACCCAGCTCAATCAGGAGGCCTTTATTCTCCGACTCCAATCTTCAGACAGGGGAACCAGACCTGGCACAAAATGGTTCCAGGAACAGAGTACAGTTCTGATTGCTCTATTGTGAGCTGCCTCTGCCCTTTGACACCTACCCCTGAACCACGGGCTCTAATTCAGACAAGATTTGTCTGGAGACACAGCTGGAGGCCGTTCTTCAGACAGGTGAACACAGGCCGGTCAGGAAAGACCGAGAAGAAAGAGCAGGAAGATGAGAACGAAAAAAAACAACGGCCGTGAGTCTGGACACGTTTGGACGGAGACCAGAGATGAGTAAAAACTGAAGCAGGTCTCAGCAGGAGGTAAAACATGACCTGACATAAACTGGACTCCAGTCTGAGCTCTTTCCTCAGGACAAATGTTCAACGTAAACTGAGACAGCGTTCTATCAGCGACACGCCGGAGGAGAAAAGAAAACAAATGTTCAACGTAAACTGTTCCATCAGCGACACGCCGGAGGAGAAAAGAAGGTATCGGAATAATATCGTTATCAATCCGATACCAGACCTCTGAATCGTCCAATCAGCAACCAGAACAAGATGTTTCTAAAGTGGGTGAAACACCTGCAGTACTCACAGCCTTTGTAGATGTCCGTTGGAATCTGCACCGCACTGGACGAGTAGTTGACCTTGTTCTTGAAGTTGGGATCGTCAACAAACTCCAGCTCCAGTGGAGACGAGCTCTCCAGCAGACTCTCCTCCTCGCCATCCTCCGTCTGTGCACGCACGCACGCACACACACACACACACCAGTAAATACACAAGATACAGATGTAAGCAGAAACAGGGGAACATGCAAAAAAAAAAAAACAAATCTTGTGAATGTTGTGATGATGTGGAGTTGAAAAGACGGAGCGTTCTGACATCGGTCTCCGCTGATTTTCTGCCTTTCATCACAGGTTTCAGATGAGACACCAAACAGAGACTCATTAGTGGACACGATGACCATCACAGACTCACGAGGTGTCACACAAATTATCCACAACAACAACCACCGTCCAACACTGGCTCCTCATTGGTCGCCTGCCTCCCTGTTCTCTCTACACAAAATCTGATCTTTGGTCTTTTCATCTTCTCAGCGTGGACACAGTCCATTAGGACCAATCAGCACTCGTGTAGACCATTAGTAATGTGACGAATATCAAAGCGATGAGACTGATGGGGGGAGTTGGGGGGGGGCAAGTCTGAGATTTTAGTTTATATTCTGACATGTTCTGGAGAACGATCTGAGGGAGCGACTGGAGAACTTCGTCACACTCTGAGAAATAAAACACAGTGAAAATGTCAAGACTCTAATGTACAGTGTTTGTTAAACAACAACATGCGTTCATGCACCGAGCTCTCTGATGCCCCCTGCTGTACAGAAGTTGCCGTGGGCTCAGTCTGCCCCCGCCCCCTCCATTAGCCATCCTTCATTAGCTGTGATTTGTTGATTATTTGTCAAACAGAACTCTCATCTTTGGTCACTTCTGGTGAACTCTGAAAACAACGTTTGCCTCCAGACTTCCATCTTCAGAGGAAAAAAACAAAAAAAAAACCCTCTCCTCATTCCAATGAAGCCGCGCTGCTAAAGTGAACCTGACGTGATTAAAAAAATGTTTGTACTTGAGAGAAATTAAATCAAACGCCCATGTCCGTGGCAGACACTGATTGATGTGCTGACTCTAATTGACTATTAAAACCCAATTACAAGCTAGGGGGGTGGGGGAGGGGTAAGGGGGGGGGCAGCCCCCAGATCTTTGTGTCGAAGCCCTGCTGGAAGTCAACATCAGGGAAAACATCGCTGCATCGTCGACATATCTACACACCATCAAAGCAGATGTGAAGTCGGGACAGAGGTCACATGGTTTTAGAATATTAACTAGTTGTTGATGAATATTACCTCTAATACCCTCATCCACACTGCCCTACAGGGGGCGTGGAGAGGCAGATTTTCTCCCCCTCTTCACGCCTGAGTGTGACACCTGACGGAGGAGCGTCGGCCCTTCAGCTGCACCGACTGTGAGGGGGAGGTGTTTGTTTATGCCCTGATCCGACTCTGACTCTGTCGGCGTGGAGCGAGGAGAAGAGCCCAATCATAATTAACCACAGCAGCGTCTAATTAGAGGAGGAATAACTCCACACAGAGAGCACTGATTGGTTGGTTTTCCTCCACCTTCCTCCACCTGTTTGGTTCAATTCATTAGACAATTTGTTCCTTTTATCTCCCGGTTCTCCAGGTTTAATTAAAGGCTAAAGAGGACGGAGACGACATTTTAAAGGTTCGTTCACTCCTGACTTCAGCCGACCACAGAGTGTGTGTGTGTGTGTGTGTGTGTGCCATTTCTTCCCAGAAAGTGCTTTATAAAAAATAACTATGTATAAAAGAAAAGGCCGTCGGCACGGTGAACATTTGACATGAAAACAGAAAGTTCCTGAGGATATGACTGACAGGAGTCGTAAAAGTTCTGCAGTAAAAGTAAAATGGAAGCGAGAACGTTTCTAACAACTGGTCATTAATATAATGGACAAGTGAACAAAGACCGAGGAACTGAATGTTTGGTTTGTTTGGAATAATTAACACAATTATGACAACTTAACCACGAGTCAGTTTTCAGTTTCCTTTGATGACATTTGTAAACGTTTGTGAAAAAGTAATAATAAATTATTACTTTTTCGAGTGAAATTTCTAATATTTTTCACTGTATCAAAAGTTTGTATTTAAACAAATTTGCATGTGTTGTTTTTTTAGCAAAGCTTTAGTTAAAAAAATACAGAAAAATCATAAAAAAACCCAGCTTTTATGTTTCAACAAAACAAATGAAACTGTAATCAGGGCTGAAAGAGAGAATTAAAAAAAAAAGTTTATTAATTTGACTTTAACATATCTCCACCGCCCCTTATTGGGGCCCGCCCCCCACTTTCATAAACGCTTCTATAGGCTTAGGGGCTAAGAATGCATGATGTCAGTGTGTGTGTGTGTGTGTGTGTGTGTGTGTGTGTGTGTGTGTG